AGATGAGAATGTTGTTGCAGAGTTTAGAGGGTATTGACAGGATGGGGGAAGGTAAAAATAAGGTTATTGAGGGGTAAAGTAAGGAGTGGAGAGATTGGAAGGATGTCAAACACATGTGTATATATATCCGTACACACACATATACACACATACATGCATATATACATATACAAACCCACATACATACATATATTTACACATATACACATCAAGGCATTTTATATTACATATATAACATTATATATATATGATATATCACATACACATATACCATATGTGTATTAATACAGCTTAAAGAATCCACCAAACTTTTTGAAATTGGAGAGGACAAGGGGATGAATAAGAGTATGATAACGGGATGAATTTGTTCCAAGTGTACACATATGGAAATATCACAATGAATTGTACTTATATCTAGTATATGTCTGAGTCAAGCAAAAAGGTCAGATAAGGTGATGTTAAGTAAATGAATCCTAAGATATGTATTCAAATGTTTTTTTCTTTCATGCGATTGTTTCTAACACATTTATAAGATTATTTCTTTGTTGCTTTGTATGTCCCTACCCCACAGTATAACTCCTGCTTTCACTGTATTTGATGTGGGTATAATTTGTGGAAGGGAAGGTGAAAAACAAATCATTTAAATAGGGATACAAGTGGACCTGTTGCAACAATGAGATGTACAAGTCGTTATGTCGAAAACAAACTTTACAACTTTGGTGCAGGGCTAGGGGAGAGCGGGGTGGATTGAGTGGGGGGGTGGGGGGGAGGATGGGAAGGGATGGGAAGGGGAAACAAAGGAGGAGGCTATAATGCTTGATAAGAAATGTACTCATTATCTTGCCCATGTAATTGAAACCCTTCTGTACAGTATTTTCACAATAAAAAAAGAAATATCACAATGAAATTCTCATGTTACAAATATATGTTAACTCAAAAATAAATTTCACCTTTATGTATAAATAGAAATTACTAAAGAAAAAATTAAAAGTAATGCAATATAAACCTGTTATTCTAAAAATATATTCCAGAAGTATTCAAATGGCATGCAAGAAAGACAAGAAAGAAAGAATAGAAATAAATAAATTACTATTCGAATATAGTAATGGTTTTTATATTAATTCTCTAAATATATCAATTAAGGTAACAAGAAGAGTAATATATTGTGCATTGAATACATGCATGGAAATATTGCAATGAAACACCTCACTTTGTAGAATTAATACATGCCAATAAAATAGTCATGAAATATACAAATGAGATGACAGAAATTAAGAGAATGCTTGCAAAAATGGAAGCTAAAAGCATGCTGTCAGTAAGAAGCTCTATTCAAAATAAAAGTATAACATATATCAATAGAAGGGTCCACTCACCAGAAGACATATAATCCTAAATAATACACATTTAAATTACATATTCAGTATCAAAAGTCAGAGACTAAAATCCAGGAAGAAAATCAGAAAGCACTGGATGGAGAAACAGGTAAACTCATAATTAGACTGGTCAATTCAAGCTCACATTCAGAAACTGATAAACTATTAGAGATAAAATCAGCATAACAATAGAAGATCTACAAAGCACAATCAACCATAGATTACAATTGACCTATATAGAATATAGCACATTTTTTGCATGACCAAAGAACATTCACAAAGATAGTCTATCTCCTGGTCCATAAAGCGTACCTTAACAAGTTTTAAAAAATGAAGTATATTGAAAATAGAGCATATATTCTCCAATGATATTATAGTAAAACTATTAATAATAGGAAGACAATAAGAGAAGACTTTACATTTACAGACATCTGGTCAACAGAGTTCTAAATAACCTGTGTACTAAAGAAGAAGTCTCACAGATAATTAAATAACATGGAATTCAAAGAATATCAAATAACAGATGAAATGTTTGTTATATGGAAATATTAGAGCAAAGATGAGATTATGACATTAAATTCTTACATTTAAAAAATAACACATGTAAAAATTAAAAAGTCAATAAATTCTAACTCCAAGAACTTAGAATAATAAAACTAAATAAACTCAAAACAATCATAAACTTATACAGGGGGGGTTGTGGGGTTTTGAGCATAGAAGCAAGAAGCAAAGAAACTGAAAATAAAATATTCATTAAAAATGACAAATATAATCCATGATTCTAAAATATCAGTTAATTTGATAAGCCTCCAGAAGGTCTGATATAAATATGAAAAGAAAAAAAGCAGTGAAAATTGCAATGAAGGAAGTTATTACTAGTGATCTTGAACTAAATTCTTGGGCAGTATAAATAGTTCATACTTGTAATATTAGCTACCAAAGAGGCTAAAATCTGAGAATCCTGTTTCAAAGCCAGCCCGTACAGTTGAATCTGAAAGACTTAACTCCAACTAATTAATGAAAAATCTGGAAATGAACATGTAACTCAAGTATCATTGAGCAAACTATCAGGAGTGCAAGTACCTGAGTTCAGCCCTAGTACAATGGAAAACTGAGCATAGATCAATTGTCTAAGAGTCCTAGTGATTAGAGAATTTTTTTTTTGCCAGTTCTAGGGCTTGAACTCAGGGCCTGAGCGTCTTTTGCTCAAGGCTAAGAGTCTACCACTTGAGCCATAGTGCCACTTCTGGCTTTTTCTGTTTATGTGGTACTGAGGAATCAAACCCAGGGCTTCATGAATGCTAGGCAAGCATTCCCAGCACTGTTAGAGAATTTTTAATGAAAACCACAGTATTATCCTACACTGGGCAGAGTGGCTAATATGAAGCTTATGGGGTAGAAAACTGTGAGTATGTAAATATCTTGATCCCTCCCACATGACTGGTAAAAATGTAATATGATCCAGCCGATCTAGAAATAACTTAGCAATTTCTTAGAGTATAAATCTGCTCTTAAGCTGCTTATTAAAAATCGAATGTATTTCTTCATGTGTCACAGAAAATGATTACATACCAATTATGAATAGCCACAACTGGACATAGCCTTAATATTTATTGACAGGTGAATGGTTATTCAGACTTATATGACATACAGCAAAATTATACAGCAGTAAATAGAATAATTTACTGACCTACAACCATCTAAATGGATTTTATGGGACTATGATGAAAGAAAAAAGGTAATTCCTAGTGGATACAAATACAGGGTCCATTTATATAATAGTCTTTCAGGGACAAAACTATGCTGAGGACTAGTTGCTATAGATTAGAAATGAGGAATAGAGTTTAGTGTCTCTATACAGCAGGGTTGGAGAACCTTTTTGCTGTTGCTGTTTCATTTTAGCAGAAGCCATTTGGATATTTATAATACCATTTGACATGTCTACATATATTGAATTTTCTTTGAAAAATGCTTTTTAAATTTTTCTAAATTTTGAGTCCTGTGTGCAATTGTTTAAGGAAGGCAAGAACAAATGATTTTGCAGGATCGTATGGACCATGGCCTGAACATTCCCAACCCCTGTTATAAAGGGAGAGCTCAAGAAAGCCTGGAGTGGTCACATGAAACCCATACATGAGATATAACTATCTAGAACTGTCCCACAAGCCCCCGGGCTCACATGTATAATGTTAATTGAAACCAGAATAAATTCCATTGATGATTGCAATGTGAATTTTCTGTTTTCTGGGGTTGTACTATGGTTATACAAGTTGTTATTAATTTTGAAAATGGGCAAAGGGTGACATGGACCACCCAGGGCATTTTTGTTTATCGATTTCCTTTTGAGTATGTAATCAGCACAATAGCTCAAAATAAAATAGATAAATTGCTCAAAATAAAAAGCTAATAATGACAACAAAAGCAGTGGGTCTCAGATATTCTTCTCTGAGCAATATTCACCAAAGACTAAAGTGATTAGAAAGTTTAAGCCATAGGAGGAACAAAATAATGATTAATAACCAATCATTTATAAAGGCACATTGTCAACTAACTAAAAAGATGCGAAAATAACATCTGTTTATGTGGATGTGTTTTTTATGGCTTTCCTCATCAATTTTCCTTACTAATCTTTTCTGAAAGATTTTTTCCTGTTGAGACAGCTCTCTACCTGTCAATATTTCTTTTGTATAATTGTTTTCACAAAGTTTACACCAAAAACAAACTCCAACCTTGAAAGATGACAGATCTTCTCTCCTGTCAAAACATTTAATAAAGAGCGAGGAATATATCATAATTGAATTGACAATTATCTAACCTATGGATTTTAATGAGTTCTACTCAACATACTGTCAAAAATGCTGAAATAATCTGTATTTTCTTGTAATTAATTTTGAGTCTTTTATATACAAAAATATTTTGAAGCTGGTTTTCAATTGGTGTATTGATTCTCTCTTATTGAACATGGCAACATATATCTAGATGACAGAAGTTCTAAAAATTATACTTAATAAATGAAATGGTAGATAATATTTAGGTTATTACAACAGTTTTCATGATTGAGGTAGGCTCCCTTAAATTAGGCTCTAAATCCTGCTTAGCATTATAACTGCACCTACTATATTCTATATAGGCTAAGTAAACAAGTTCATTTACAAAAAATGTTTTTTAAATAGCCACAAAAATTGCAAACATTTGCTTTATTCATTCAATCATCAATATGAATTTGGCATTGTGTAAATGGGCTAACATGTACCATTTCTCTGTAGGAATACAAAAAAAAGATGTTTCTCCTGGACACTGGTGGCTCAGGCTTGTAATCCTTGTTACTTAGTAGGCTGAAATTTGAGGATCTTGGTTCTCATCTAATATGGACAGTAAAGTTTGTGAGACTCTTATCTCTACCTTAGTACCAAGAAGCCAGAGGTGGAGCTGTACTCAAATGGTAGAGTACACAAAAACTCAGGGACAGCACCTAGACCCAGTGTTCAAGTCCCAGGACCAGAATAAAAAAAAGATGTCTCTGTTGAAGATAAATCACATAGAATTTAACTTTTTTGAAAAAAAATGCATAACTTTATTATATGTTTAATTCTATTATGAATACAAATGCATTGATATCTTCATCCAGAGGAGGAAAAACAAAAATAAAATGATGACACAACGATGGCTTAAAGCAGATTCTATCAAGATTTTATAAGCTTATTTATCAACAATGAAGAGAGAATTAAAACTGGCTGAAAGGCAGCACATCTGAGAGATTGATGTTGCTGTATTGGTATACCTGCTGCAGAATGCTAACGGCATGGACCAGTCCTTTTTTCAGCCCAGGGTGTGACAGTGCTAGTAGTTGGAAAAGGTTGGGTGTGGGCTCCACTTCTTGTCTTCAGCTGGGACTGAGCAATGTTAGCCAGTGCACTCTGGATATTTTCCAGAAGCAAGTCTACTCGATAAACAGCATCTTCCAGACAGGTAGCAGCTTCATGGTTCTCTTCCTCCAGCTTATACAAGCTAGCGGCCTGTAATGCGGCTGTCGATTCTTCACTGGGTAAAGAATCTATCAAAACACCAATATCTTTTGCTGTCCGGGCAATCAGTGCAGCAAAAAGATGAGCATATTCTTCTGTAGAGTTAGCTGGCTGGTCCTTGTTAATTGCTGACTGAATGTTATTAAATGAAGTAGGTGGACCACACTGTTGCAACACTCCAATGGCATTACAAAACTGATCTGCAAGCGAGTTCACTGCGTCTTGGAGCTGCGTGAGGCGGTCCGCCATGTTGCTCCTGCACGCAACCGGAGCTAGAGCCCATAGAATTTAATTTTTATGGCTGCTTTCTAAAATAGGGATCTCAATATATATGGCCAGGCCATATTGGAATCATATATGCCGTTTAGACTGACCTCTTCCTCGTAAGGATTTAGAATTATAGGGAGGGGCCAACAGCTCTCAGCTTATTCCTGTTACTTGGAAAAGTATTTCTTCTCTGCCTATCAAAATTATGGGTGAGTATGCTATGTGTGCATTTGCATTGCATGAAATTATTTTTGATGAACAAAGTGGAAAAGATAATGATAAATATTCTTATACATACCAAGACATTTTTTCAAGAGGTTGACAGCAAAGCTGGTGTCATCTTCTATGATTTTTGTAGGAATATAATAAATCAACTCTGACATTTTTCATATGTATCTTGTTATTTTAAATTAATATTACTAATATAAAAACATAGCTGACAGTTCCCTTTGTAATACAAATCAGAATGCTTTATTTAAATTGTGTTGCCACTAGTTGTATGAATGTGATTGGGATTTCTCTGGTTTTACTTTCACCTTGGTCTAAAAGAATATAATTTTCTATGTTATTTGCAAAAATATGAATACCTTTGTGACTGTTTATTTGAAGGTCACCTTCATTGGATTCAGTAACCCCTTGATGATTGGTAAAGCACAATTTTGTGTGCATCTGGGAAGAACTAATCAAAGACAGTAAGATAGACAGAGCTATGGTCCTGGAATTGGAAAGAAAAATTGAGGAAACATTAAATTCTTGATGAGAGTTGAAGTTATAGAAGCATGGAGGATTTTGAGGAGAAGGTATAAGGGATTAAAAAGAATCAAGAAAATTCTTGAAAGTGAGAAGAAAGTAGGCGTTTTTTCCTGAAGTGGTAGAAAGTTAATAACTGTTTCCCGTGATATTAGAAGAGGTAGGAAAATGTGGCTGATAACTTTGTTATGAAGCAATGACTGTTTAAAGATAAAATGTAAAAAGTTTCATCTATATTAAAATTCCATAGACAGAAAAGATCATGAGACTAGTATAAAAAGCAAGCAAAAAAAATAAACCCATTGGCTTATGATTTTACAATTCTCAGGCATTTATCTGTCAGCCTTGGCACCTTTCTTGAGCTCAAACTCAAGTGCTCTACCACTTTGTGCCACAGGTCAAATTTGGGTGTGGTTCATAGGAGATATTCTCATGGACTTTCCTGCCTGGTCTGGCTTTGAACAGGCATCCTCCAATGTCAGCCCCCAGAGTAGCTAGGATTACAGGGATAAACCACAGCACCAGATTTCTCAGACTTTTAAAATAGTAAATAATAGTAAAATCAATATTTTAACCAAAAATATTTAACCAAATATTAAATTAAGACCAATTTTTATAAACTCAAGTCTAATATGAAACTGAGTTCATTATAAAATTATTTATAACTTCAGAAAGATCAATAATGGCAATTCAGAGACAGCAATTAAAGAAACAAATGGTTCTGAGAGTTTTTTCAGGCAATTTCTTATCAAACAGAAAAATTTGAACATGCTTATGGGTTAATAGAATCTTACAAGAGAAAGTATCTATCTGCAAGATACTGTGGACAGTTTTTATGTAATGAGATGATTTTCAGTAACATTTGCCAGCAATTTCCACAATTCTTAAGGATGATACAATTGCAAGAACAGAACTAGATTGGATTGAAAAACACAGTGACAAATTAAAATACAAAGAAAAATTTACAAGAGATGTTCCAGGTTTCTTCATTTGAAAATAAACCTAACTGGGATCAGGAAAAAAATGCAGAAATCATAACTGTGGGCAATTAATTCCTACATCCTTTTTTCTGACTAGACAACTTTCAACATTTGTCATACTGAATTTCAGAATTGCTGGGGACTTCTTCATCTCTAATCATTCTCCTTTTGAAAATAAGTATCTACAGCCATTATCCTAAATTTGTGACATTCTTGTATGGTAGTATTTATGGGGACAATAACTTGTCTTTTCTTTAGGTGTTTTATTTCCATTATTATTATTGTAAAGGTCATGTAGAGGTGGGTTACAGTTAACAGAAGTCAGGTAATGAGTACATTTCTTTTTTTGGGGGGGGTCTGGTCGTGGGGCCTGAACTCTGGGCCTGGGAGCTGTCCCTCAGCTCTTCAGCTCAAGGTTAGCGCTCTACCACTTGAGCCTCAGCGCCCCTTCTGGCTTTTTTCTTTTTGCTTATGTGGTGCTGAGGAATTGAATCCAGGGCCTCATGCATGCAAGGCAAGCACTCAACCACTGAGCCACCTTCCGAGCCCCCTACATTTCTTTTTGAAGAGTGTTCCCTCTCCTTCATTTTATCACTATTCTTTCTCCCATCCATACCATCAAGTTGTATAGTTCATTTCCAATACAGTTTTGAATATCACTTGAGAATCACCTTTTTGAATTAGTTGAGCTTTGGTTCCAATGTTTCTGTGCTTTTCTTTCCCATCCTCAAATCAAATAAACATTCATAAAAGACACAAGGTACAGAAAACTATAATTCTGGAGCCAGTTCCATCAGAGAAAGCTTACATTAATCTATGAATGATTCACATAGAAGATTCTGGACTTTGCAGGGCTATTCTAAAGGGAGGTAATATTATAGTGAATGCATGGATGGAGTGAGATGAGATAAATTGTGTTTTCTTTCAAATTATTTATTTCCTAGTTTCATAGATATCCAGTTAATATTAAACATTATACCCCAAAGTATTGTGCACATAATATAATTATAGCAACTGTCACATTTTAATGTCTTTATAGTTATTGTAAAGGTGATTACACAGGGATTACAGTTACATGAGTTAGATAAAGAGTACATTACTTTTAGATAATTTCACCACTTTCCTCTCTCCCAGATTTCCCTCCCAGCCCCACCTACAAGTTGTATAGTTCAATTTCAACATCTTGTCTTTGAGAATCACTGCTGCATTTGTTCACTCTTTGTCCTTCTATTTCTGTGTGCCCCTCCTACCCTCCTAAAGACAGATAAACAAACAAGATAAAAGGAAAAGAAAACAAAAACAATAGCAAAGTAAAAGAAAACCCTCCTATCCATTCTGTGGAGTTCATTGTGATAAATATTATTTTACATGATCAATTGCACATAGTAATTGTGCCTTTGTGATCCTTTCTTAAGAATATCCTCCTTTGGTCTCACTGTGTGAATATCTAGAGACTTAACTACTTTATCATGTACCAGTGTATTTTTCTTTCTTTTACTGTCCAGCGTTTTTATGTGAAAATTTATAGGCGTGTTCTAGCTACCACAAATGAAGGAACCCATGCAACCTATCTTTCTTTTGGTCTGGCTTATTTCACTTAATATAGTTTCTTTCATTTCTTTTTGAATGGTACAATATCAGTCTTTCTAATGGATAAGTAGAATTCCATTGTGGATATATACTACATTCTCCTGAATTTTCATCCACTGAAGGGCATCTAAGTTGATTCCATAACTTGGCTATGATAAATAATGTTTCAATGAACATGATTGTGCTGGTAGCTCTGGTGTAAGATTGTTTTCTATTGGGTAAATGCTCAGTAGTGGAATTGCTGGGTCATAGGGAAGCTCTTTGTTTAGTCTTTTAAGGAACCTCCATACTGCTTTCCATAACATTCTTTGGATTTTCCTCTTTGAAGTATGAGACATAACTTCCCAACATTTAATGGTGGATTATGATAGTGAATAATTGTTAATGACGAGAAATATGGTGGAACAAAGCATCCCACCGAGATCAGGATAAGGAACACTGATTTTGTCCTATATCTTGGTTTATTTCTTACATGATTTGACTTTACTGCTCATGTGTGTGTGAGTGTGTGTGGGGGGGGGAGGTGGGTGTGCATTATTTAGTTACCTGGACCCATTAAAATACTAGCTAAAAAGCAGTGAATATATTTATAATAGCAACATAATATGAAAACTGATGTGTCTCTACAGTGATGTTGCTTACATTTTTGTATATTTTTAAATTTCTTCTCAGGATTTTAGATATTATCTATTATATGTTTTTATGAATTGAAAAAGTAAATGCCAGATATTCTAGGTACATTTTTTTCTGAAGAGAAAAGGTTTATTTAGCTTATACATCTGGAGATTACACTCCAAGATCTTTTTTTAAATAAGTTTTTTATTGTGAAAATGCTGTACAGAGGGGTTACAGTTTCATGAGCAAGATAATGAGTACATTTCTTATCCAGCATTGTTGCCTTCTCCATTGTTTTTCTCCTACCATCCCATCCCTCCCACCTTCTCAACCACACTGCCCATCCCCCCAAACCTTCCACACCCCCCTAAATTGTAAAGTTCGTTTTTTCAACATAGCATCTTATATATCTCATTGTTGCAGTGGGTCAATCTGTACCCCTATTTAAACATTTTGTTTTTTTCCTTTCCCCTCCCCAAATTATACCAATATCAAATACAGTGGAAACAAGGGTTATACTGTGGGGGAGGAACATACAAAGCAACAAAAAAAATCACATGCTACCCAATAAATACGTTAGAAACAAGAGCAAGGAAGAAAAAAACACTTGCGTCCCTGTCTTGTGGTTCATTTTGCTTAACATCATCATATCTGCGCTATTCTGCTTGTCCCAGTCATATACTAGTTATTGCAAATAAGGGAAACCATGAGACCTATGTTTCTTTGTACCTGGCTTACTTCACTTAATATATTTTTCTCCAAGTCTTTACATTTCCTCCAATCATCTACTGAGGGGCATCTGGGTTGGTTCCATATCTTAGCTATGGTAAATAATGCTGCAATAAACATAGTTGTGCTGGCAGCGTTAGTATGGTCTTGTTTGTGATCATTTGGGTAAATGACCAAAAGTGGGATTGCTCTGTCATAGGGAAGCTCTATGTGGAGTCTTTTGTGGAACCTCCATTCTACTTTCCAAAGTGGTTGAACAAGTTTACACTCCCATCAACAATGCAGTAGGGTTCCTTTCTGGCCACAACCCCTCCAGCA